TGCATTTGCCTACCTCTGTACTATGTGTTCCACTCATATGTTTGTGTAGGTTTACACCATACCATACTGTTTTGATTGATGTAGTTTTCAAATAAGTCTTGAAATCAGGAAGTGCTAATATTCCAATTTTACTTTTTTTTTAAAGGTTTTATTTATTTATCTTTAGAGGGGAAGGGAAGGAGAGAGGGAGAGAAACACCAATGTATGGTTGCCTCTTGTGCGTCCCCTGCTGGGAACTGGCCTGCAACCCAGGCATGTGCCCTGACTGGGAATTGAACTGTGATCCTCTGGTTTGCAGGCCCACACTCAATCCACTGAGCTACAGCCAGCCAGAGCCCAACTTTACTCTTTTCCAGTTGTTTTGGCTATTCTAGGTTCTTTGTATTTCCATCAATTTTAGAATCAACTTGTCAATTTCTACAGAAAAGGTGTAATGGGATTTTGTTTTTCTTTTTTCTATTTTAATTTTAATTTTTAAGTATATTTTATTGATTATGCTATTACACTTGTCCAGAATTTTCTTGCTTGGCTCCCCTCCACCTTGTACCCCCATTCCTTCCCACAGTCCTCCACTTAGTTCATGTTCCTGGGCCGTGCGTATAAGTGCTTTGGCTTCTTCATTTCCTATACTATTAACATCCCCCTGTCTATTTTGTACCTACCAATTATACTTCTCGATCCCTGCACCTTGTCCCCCATTCTCCCCCTTCCATCTCCCAGCTTATAATCCTCCAAATGATCTCCATATCTATGATTCTGTCCCTGTTCTGGTTGTTTACTTGGTTTGTCTTTCTTTTAGATTCAGTTGTTGATAGTTGTAAATTTGTTGTCATTTTAATAGTTTTGATCTTTTTCTTAAATAAGTCCCTTTAACATTCATGTAATAACAGCTTGGTAATGGTGAACTCCTTTAGCTTTACCTTGTCTGGGAAGCACTTTATCTGCTCTTCCATCTGCCTTCCATTCCATGTTGGTTTTGCTGGATAATCTAGGTTGTAGGTCATTGCTTTTTATCACTGAATACTTTTTGGAAGTCCCTTGTAGCCTGCCAAGTTTCCTTTGAGAAATCAGCTGATAATCTTATGGAAACTCCTTTATAGATAACTCTCTGCTTTTCTCTTGTTATTTTTAAGATTCTTTATCTTTAACCTTTGGTATTTTAATTATGATGTCTTGGTGTGGTCCTATTTGGATCCACCTTGTTTGGGACTGTGCTTCCTGGACTTGTCTGTCTAGTTCTTTCACCAAATTAGGGAAGTTTTCTTTCATTATTTTTTCAAGTAAGCTTTCAATTTCTTGCTCTTTCTCTCTTTCTGGCATCACTATGAGTTGGATGATGGTACATTTGGAGATGTCCCAGAAGCACCTTATGCTGTCCTCGTTTTTGGATTCTTTTTTCTTCTTGCTGTTCTGATTGCATGCCTTTTTCTTCCATATGTTCTAAATTGTTGATTTGATACTCAGTTTCATCCCCTCCACTGTTAGTTTCCTGTAGATTTTTATTTATTTCACATAATGTAACCTTCATTTCTGCACGGGTCTTTTCTATGCCTTACTCAATGAGTTCTTTGAGCATCCTGATAAGCAGATGTTTTGAATTCTGCATCTGAGAGGGTGGTTATTTCAGTTTCGTTTACTTCTTTTCTGGAGTTTTGTTCTGTTCTTTCAACTGGGCCATATTTCTTTGTCTTCTCAATTTGGTAGCCTCCCTTTGGTGTTTGTTTCTGTGTATTAGGTAGAGCTGCTTTAACTCCTTGTCTTAGGAGCATGGCCTTTTGCAGAAGAGCAAACTTGTAAATTGTGTTGGGAAGAGCCTTAGTTGATCACACCAGGATGGGACAACCCATTTCACTGCTTTGTGGCTGGCTCTGTGTTGTGGTAGGGCTTCGAGAGAGGACAACACTGCTGCCTGGCTTATGGAGAATTGCCTGTGAAGAAGCTGTCTCCCAGCACCTGCCCTGTTTCCAGTCTCCTCATTTTCTTCCCATATGCCATTTGTGTCCAGCTGTTGTCCTGGTCCTGAATCCCTGAGGGGATGGGTCTGTGTAAGTTCTAAGTCCATGCAGGCCCTTTTAGATGAGTCTTCTGATAACCTGGCAGTATCTTCCACTGCCGCAACCCATCTTGATTTTTACAGCTAGAAACTATGGGGATTTATCTTCCTGGCACTGGAGCCCTGGGCTACTGGGTGGTCTGATTTGGAGCTGGGATTCTCTTGCTCCTGATGTATTCCTCCCAATTTTTACCCACTACAAGTGAATGTGTACTTCCCTGTTCTGCCACCTCTCCATGCCACTCCTGCCCCTCCACACCATACTCACCACTCTGTGCCTCACTGCACCTCTCTACCTCTCTGCATCTCTGCCCCTACTACACATCTGGATGAATGTAGCTTCATTACATCCTTGGTTATTGGACTTTCATATGGCTTAATTTTCTGATGGTTCAGGGTGTTATTTGTTTTGTAGTCTAGATGTAATTTTTTTCTGTAGTTGTGTGAGGAAATGAAACATGTTTACCTATGCCCGAATCTTGATCAGAAATCCTTTGAACATGTATTTTCACTCTATATGTAAGATTTTCATTGGTTTTGAGCCATGTGATTTTGTTGTACTTTGGTGTGGTTTTCTTGATGTTTCTTGTGCTTAGGGTATTTTTGAGCTTCTTGGATATGTTAGTTATAGTTTTCATAAAACTCAGGAATAATTTGGCCATAATTTCTTCAAAAATTTTTTATGTGCCTGCCTTCTCTCTTCTCTTTTGGGGACTCCAATTATGCATTTATTAGTCTGCCTGAAATTAACTCACAGCTCATTGATACCATTATGTATTTTTAAGAATATTCTTCTCTTTTAGATAGTTTTGTTTTAGACAGTTTTATTGCCATGTCTTCACGTTCACTAATCTTTTACTCTGGAATGTCTATTCTGCCAAAAAAATCTCACATTTATTTTTCCATCTTAGATATGTAGTTTTCATCTTTAAAAATTTGATATATTTTATCTTATATGTCTCTACTTAACATATAGAATATAGTTGTAATAATTATTGCTCTACCTGCTAAACCTAACAGCTGTGTCAGTTTGGGTAGGTTTTAATTTTTTTTTCTTGTTATTATGGGTCACATTTTCTTGCTTCTCTGCATGTCTGAAAATTTTTGTTTGGAGGCTAGACATTTTACCTTCACATGATGGGTATTATTGTTTCCCTATAAATATTCCTTAATTTATTCTGCAACTTAGTTACTTAAAAGCAGTTTGATCCTTTTTGGTAAGATTTGGTATGTAAAACTGTTTTTGAGCCATGTTTAGTGCTAATTATTCCCCACTACTGGTGCAGGACTGTCCTCTGTACATTATTCAGTGCCCTTTGGATTATGATGTTTTCTAGTTTGGAAGGTTACTCAGCCTCTCTGGTGCAGTTGAGCAGGAGGTACTCTTTCCTCCACTCGTTTCTGGTGGTTCTTTTCTTGGTTTGGGTAATTTCCTCACGTGCTTCTCTTTGGAGTCCTCTTTCTATGTAGGTCTCTCTTTTCTGGTGCTGTCTTTTGAATTCTAGGTCTTTCTGGACTCTAAACTCTATTTCATCAATTTATAGGTTTACTGAGATCTACTCACGTTCCCCTTCCATGCACTGAAGCCTGTAATTTCTCTTAAGGCACCAAGCTGGGCAATTGGACAACTCATCTAATTTCTTTTGTCTCTCTCAGGTTTGACTGTCCTTAGTTCTCTGATGGCCAGTATCTTGGAGACTATTGTTTCATATATTGTTCAGTGCTATTAGCTATTTCAAATGGGGCAGGGGTGAAACTTATCCTTGGGACTCTGTCATGAGTGAACATTTGTATATGTATTTAAAAAATAAATATCCTGTATGATTTAGATGCAGCCACCCTAGCTAACCCTAGTCCATAAGTTGAGAACCACTGCTCTAACCCCATTGAACTACTTATCACTGATCTTCAGTCATCCACTTACCTTTGTTTCTGTGTCTTTGCTTTCCCATATCCCTATATCCTGAATACCTTCTTCTCCTTTGTTTTCCCTGTCCAAAATTTAAAGATTCTTTAGTGTTTAGTCAAAAAACTATCATCTCCTTCTCAGAGTAGCAGGGCCTCCACCTTGCTGCTGAGGAAGTCATTCCTTTCTAGGTGCTTCCATAGCAAATTTATTACATTAATAATCACAGTTGTTATATTCTGCATTTTACAATTGTTTGCTCATCCATTTGTAAGATTCCTAAGGTCAGACACTTGGTCTGTCTTGCATGAAGTAGCATTATACTGTGTCCTACGGAATGGAGGGCCTTGAAAGCTAGAGACCAAATGATAGAACTAAGCACTATAGAGAGGTGGTTTTGAAGATCTATATCCTACCTTTTTTGGTTCAGGCAATCTAAGGTTTGGTTAGCAAATAGATTTCATCTTGGTTGGTGAATCTGATTGGCTTGTTGAGAAAGATTCTGAGGCCAAATCCTGACTCTATGAGAAAGCTGGCCATTAGATAAGATAAAATGTTGGTGTGTCTCAGGTATTTTGATAGCTTTGGCTAAAAATGTAGGGTATTTTGAAAAAATAACTAGCAAGTATATAATTAATGTCAAGTAGTGGTCTAAGCATGATGCAGATATCAACTGAGTTATTTTCCCTGACAACCCATTGAAGTAAGTTCTGTTAATATCCCCATTTTGTAGGTTGGGAAGCTAAGGCACACAGAGGTTAGAAACTTGCTCAAGTCACACGATTGGTAATTCTGACTCCAGGATCCATGTTTCTATCACTGTTTAACTGTCTTCATGTTGAACATTCAATGATACAGAAAAATTGAGGTAGTCAGCCCACACAGCTTTACTTTTATAGTATGGAAGGGACAAAGTGAGTATGTTGTTTGTTGTTATGATAATGGCCCGAGCTTCCCAAACTTTTACCTAAATTAGAAAGATTCATCTTCCAGGATTCTTGTTGTGAGTCATGTCTGATCCTTTGTGTTTTATTTCTGTAGGATCCCTGGCCAGCTCCATCTTTGACCCACTCAGATATCTTGTGGGTGCTTCAGGAGGCGTCTATGCTCTGATGGGAGGCTATTTTATGAATGTTCTGGTGGTAAGACCTTTGGGAATATGACCTATGGTCCTTTTGGGTTGTTCTGGAACAATAACTGCTATTTGCTTTAGGGAATCTTCATTTATCAATATTTAATGAATACTCATCTTCCTACTGACCACCAGTTTTTTTCATATTTGATCTTTATTTTCCCCTGGTCTCAAAACTAATGAATACTCAATAAAATTCTAAACTAAAAAATACAAAGTCAAAATCCCCAATGTAGTATGTTAACAGTTCAATATACATCCTTTCAGATCTTTTTTGTATTCAAAATCCTACCAATATTAATATTACAAAAATAGAACTGCCTTTATAGTGTTCTGCTTTTTAACACATAGTAGTATGCTGACCATCTATTCATGTTGGGACACGGAAGTCCACCTCAAGCTTTTCAAGTGCTCCATGGCCCCCTCTATGAAGAGCTGTATTCTGACTACTTAGTCTTTCACTGAAAAAAATGTGGGGTGATTTCAGCTTTTCATATTTACAAATAATGCCATAATGAATTTTCTATTGTGCTTCGTTTTTTTTTTTTTGCATTTGTGCGATTTTTTTTTGTAGGATAACTCTCTAGAAGTGGATATCAATGCCAAATCATCCTCCAAAGTTTGCATACTATTTTACATTTTCATGATTTAGTATGTGAGAATGTCAACCTCTTTTTAAAATAGGCTAAGATCCTGTCTAGTTCTTAATGTTTTAACCATGTAGGTATATTTTATATTAAAATATAAAGTACTTCTAGTTTATTTAGGTATGTTTATATATCCTTACTTTGAAAATACTGTAAGATGAAAAATATGGAGCAATTATAAAACTGTTCCCAAAATGGAAGTCATTTAGAAAAATGTTTTCCAATCTTTGGATTGCATTCCATTAGTAGTAGTGAACTCAGTTTAAGGGTTGTGAAAACTTAAGCAAAAAGAAAAGTGAAAAAACTTTTTAGTATGCATCATATATAGTAAGAATTAGTTTGATTTAGTGTGTACTGAATTGTTATGTAAATTATTTCTTACTGTGAGTCATAGTCACAACAGTCTAAAAATAATTTATTTAGAATAAATGTGGCTAATCTAGCATCTTTACTCCTTGGGAAGAGAGTGGATAACTTGAAAAGAAATGGATACGTAACTCAATAAATTAAAGTGGCAGTGTCTTTCTGACTTCATTCTCTGTAACACATAAGGTTACTGCAAGCTGGACTGAGATGTGTTTTTTCTGACCAACGTTTTAAATTTTTTTGAAATTATCTAAAAAAAATAAGGTAGTACTCAAATTAGTTCTTTAACTCCTACTCAGAAAGAGGATAAAGAAGTGTCAGATGAACATTAACCAAAAAAACTTGAAAATATTTCATCAGACTTAGTTTGACGGCGTATCTATCCATCCATCCATCCATCTAATGTTACATGTTGGTTTTGTTACTTATATTTAGATCACTTCCTGACAGTAAAATTGTGTCTAGTTTATATCATGCATGGAATTAAATGTCATGTTTCAATTTCGTTCCCCAAAGTGCACCAGAGTTGTACTTCCCAAAGTTCATTTGAAAACTGGGCTATTAATCCAATGCTTTGCAAATATCTGATACTCAGGCTTTATTCTACACGAAAAGGAAGATGAAGAGCACAGTTGAGGTTTCATTTGCCAATAGAGAGCTTATCTTATTTTTATGATCTCTTTGCAAGAATTTTCGAGAAATGATTCCTGTCTTCGGAATTGTCAGACTACTGATCATCATCCTTATAAGTAAGTTGGTTTTTGTGGACATTTCGCACCTTCAGTTGTACCGGTTCACCCTTCAGGTCTTCTCACATTTCCTATATGGTAACATGGAGGACAACTGCTAGCTCAGAAAATTGTTAGCTCCCTTAGCCCTAGGCAGAAAGGTGTAAATGGCGGAGTTTTCACAGACCCTCACGGGTGGTTCTTAGAGGTCCCTCAGTAACCTGTTTTTGCTTTTAGTCTTTTAAGTGAGGGAAGTGGAAAGAGTAGACTCTAGGCTCTGTCCACTTCAGCCACAGTGACTTCATTTGTTTTACAGATTGGATTTTTCTTGTTCATACACTGGATTCTGTACATAATTTTTATTTCTGAAAAGGGAAAGCTTGAAAGCCACTGATATCTATTTCCTTCTTCAATTTCTAAATTTTCAGATTAAAAAAACTAATCTAGGATATAAGCGTGTAGTAGTAGTTGGGGACTAAAAATGAGAGTGGAGGACAGAACTGCAAGTTCAGGGAACTAAGAGGATGACTAATATGGCCTTTGATGGCTACAGGAATTACAGAAGAGCATTACGTGCTAGAGAAATTCTAGAAAGAGTGTTCAGTCTGTAGGGGAGATGGAATTTTAGCTGAGTCTGAAAGTCAGGGTAGATTTTTGGGTGGTGGCAGACCACACAAAGTAGAAGAAAGTGTCGACATAATAATGTCCAAACCTGTAGAGAATTTTCGTGAGTCTCTTTGAGCCCAACTGATGACATAAGCAGGGGAGCAAGATTTCAAATGCTCTGGAAAACAGTTCCGCAGTGTCTTTTATGCATTTGAATTTCAGGAGGAAAGTAAGGAAGATTGGAGAAAGCAAGGCAGGGACTGGATTAAAAGGTAGTTAGTAAGATAATGTGCTCTCTTGAGGGTGAATACCCCCTTCCAGGGGCATTTCAACATTTCAAAGGTGTGTGAACCTAGATGCGCAAGGACAGTGGAAAGGGCTGGCTTAAAATCTTTTGCTAAAGAAGTTACAGGCTTGGGGCATGACTGTCTACCCACCATGACCTGCCCAGTTAGGAATTTATGATCAGCTCACCTTGTGAGGTTACTTCCTATAGAACCCCTTTCTTCATCCGCAAAAACAAGAGCAACAGCAGGGCCAGTTACTTGTGCTTCCAGAGCCGATCCAGCTGTAGCTGTAGCTGCTCAGAGGGTGTGGGGAAAAGAGCACATGTTGGGCTCAGACTGTGGTGTCAGTTTTGAGGGCCAAGGCACTTGATAAAAAGCCCAAGAGTTTGGCTGTCTGCATGGGAAGAAAAAGTGATTCTACTTATTGGTATTAAGAAATCAATTATACATACTGCGGGAACAGGGGTGACCACTTCTGAGAAAAGTGACTAAATTTAGTTTATGGACAGTTTCACTGTAAAAATAATGTTTGATGCTGAGAGAAAATACGTGACTTTATAGTCTATACCATACTCTACATCAGGGGGTTCTAATCTTTTGGCGTCTCTGGGCCACACTGGAAGCAGAAGAGCTGTCTTGGGCCACACATTAAATACACTGCAACATGTAATCACCAAAAAAACCCTCATAATGTTTTAAGTAAATTCACAATCTTGTGTTGGGCCGCATTCTCCAGAAGAAACCCAAAAGGTGAGAGAAAGCTCTCAGCGCAGACAGGATGAGGAGTCGGGGAATTGGGTGGGAGAGTTGTGGGGGAGCTGAGGTGCCACTGAGTTGCTAAGAGTCACAGCTAGAACCAAGGGACAGTTCCTTTGACCGAAGAATGTTACACAGATGACCTGGTTGTTCCATTTGCTTCTTCTGGGGAACTATGAGTGACTTTTATAAAATAAGCCTCAAGTCTTTGATGGGGAAATTGTCTTTATACTCTTCTTGAATACGCTTCAGTGTTGGAGTAAAAACCCAACGTTCCTCACACACAGTAGTTGCTCCATAGTTTATGTAACCTATGTCCCTTCAGGTAAGTGATAATGTCACTGAATATGTGCTTTTATTACGTTCTGCAAATAGAGGCAGGACACGCCAACGTTGCCCCTGCCCACTCCCATTCACACGCTGTTGTTAAAAGTTCTTTGGCCTGGTTCGCCTCCTGTTGAAAATTAGAAAAGTTAAAACACACACGAGATTAATAAAAGAACATTTTAATTTTAAACACGTTCCCTTGGGAAAAGTGTGTGTGTGTATATATACATATTTTAAAGGTAAAAATTGTTCTTTATTGTGGAGGACAGTTGGCCTTAAGCATCTTCCTTCATTAAGCATTATTTGTTGGATGTGTTTTCTGGCAAAGCAACTGAGCTTCCCTTTGGAAAAGGTTAAGGAAAACTCACATTTTCATCCTTCAAAAAATCTGTGTAAAGGCAACTCTCTTAAAATGAGTGCAAAGTTTTAGTGAGAATAACGACTCAGTTTATTGGAATGAAGGCATCTTTTCAGGTGGGAAAACAAGTTGGCTTGTAAATTGACTGCAGCAACTTACGAGCGAACTCCGACAGGAAGCAGAGTCAGGCAGAGTTGTGGTGAGGCGCCCAAGATAAAAGAGAAATGAAATAGAGAAATTGACAGGCTAAGAGTTAGGAAGACTTTCTGAGAGCTGGCCTCCTACCCCGGAGACTAGACCAGAGTAACTGTTTCCAAGCCGTCAGCCCTATTCTCTGGCAGGGCTTTTCTTACACTTCTGTGGTCCCATCTCTGTGTGTCATTTACACTGGATCAGGAAATGCAAATGATTGAAAATGCCATATAGCCACATTTAGCCAGAACATTGTGTATAGTCATTACAATTAAATTAATATGGAGTACTTCCTCGACCTCAATTCCTGTCCAGTGACTTCAATGTCAATAGAGTATTGAAAGGGAAAGGAGCCAGAACACATGGTCCTGAAGCTATTTTCCCAAAGGCGAGGACTAGGTCTTTCCATCTTCTAGGACACAATGGCTAAGTTGAGCACGGGGAATTGGGGAATGGGTGTGGAATGTGATAGCTGCATGAGATGTTTCCAAGTTCTGCACATGTAGGGCAGAGCTCTAGGCCAAGAAACCCCGGAGTTTCCTTTTGCAGCACACATCTAACTTATTTGAAGAATGTCTAAGTTCTGGCTCTCACTGTTCCATTAGAGAGAGAATGTGGACTCATTCCCTTTCTTGGCCTTCTTTCAGTGCTCCAGGTGCGGAGTAGTGAGAGGCAGTGCATTCACTGTGGTGGGTGAGAGAGAAGTCATATTGCTTAAGGTTCCAATGCTGCCCCTGCCTCTGAGCCAAGTACTTGAATAAGTACTAAACCTCTGTGTCTTGGTTTCTTTATGTATAAAGTGCCCCATAATTCTTCACTTGGACTGCTGAAATAGTGGTAATCTAGCTGGTTTTCCTGCTCCTGTCCTTGCTCCCCTATGGCTTATTCCCTATGTAACCATGAGAATGAGCCTTTACAAACCTAAGATAGATCATGTTGTTGCTGTGCTCAAAAGCTTTGAAAAACCTTCCTACCACTCAGAATAAAAGTCAGAATCCTCAGAGTAAGCCATAAGGCCTCTTGGTCTGTCCCGTTTATCACCTATCACTCTGTTCCTAATGGTAGTCCAGAATCACTCTGGAAGTCTTGTTAAAACAGACCATGAACCTCACCTTTGGAGTTTCTGGTTCATTGAGTCTGATGTGGGCCTGAGAATTTTAATTTCTAATAAGCTTCCAGGTGATGTTGCTATGGCTGTGTTGGCATGGGGAGGTAACCACACTTTGAAAACCACTGACCCAATGAGATCTACTGCTTTTGTATTCCTCCAGCACACCAGGCACACTCCTGCCTTAGGGACTTTGCATTTGCTCTTCCCTCTGCCTGGCAGACCCTTATTTCAAAGGTCAGCATGGCTTGCCCACTTATTTCCATCAAATGTCATTGCTTAGTGAGATCCTTCATGACTCTCTACTCCCAGGAGTCCCAATTCTCCTTCCTTCCCTTGTATCTCTCCACAGCACTTAGCACCACTAGGCACACTGTATGTTTTATTTATTTGCCTCACTCATTAGCTCCATGGGACAGGGCTGACCTCACTGCAGTATGCCCACCACCTGGAACAGTGCCTGGCACATAGGAAATAATCAATAAATACGTGCTGGATAAATAAATCTGCAAAATGGGATAATGACAGTACCAATCTCATAGGGCCATTGTGAGGATTACTGATTGTAAAGCTCGTAGAACAGCATTTCGCATAGAATACATTTCAATAAATGTTACCTGTTACCATTACAAGAGGGAAACCACAAGCATTTGGTGCACAGCTGTGGAGACTGATGCTTCATCAGGTTGCCTTTCCTTCTAGTTGCATCGGACATGGGATTTGCTCTGTACCGAAGGTTCTTTGTCCCGACAAATGGGTCAATGGTGAGTTTGGCTTATTATTTTCTCAATGGAAATTTGTTTACCTATCATATCAATACCTGAAAAAGGTCATCAAATAGGGGCAAGAATTCTGTGATTTAGGGCAGTCAAATTTCCACCTGGAAGAAAACACCTGAGAAAATCAGACTTTTGGATTGTCCTTTGCACTGAACTCTCATGGCCCTGACCGCTGGCTCTGCTTCTCTGCACCTGCGTACTGGTAGCTGTCCCAGAACAGGAGAGAAGGGATTTTCCTGTCCACAGAGAATAAAAAAGCAGGTTGGAAATCAGCAATGAAAATTTGGGTCCAGATGAATTTACAATACAAGGAAAACTTACAAAGATCTTATTTTGTTGAAATGAGCCTTTGAATTTGGTGGCTTCTGTGTTTTAAATCTGACATTTCATTTATGCAGGATCGGATTGTGCCGTTATAGAGATCCCTTGTGCAACTCAACCCTCTTCTCTTGGTTGGCTCTATGCAGAACCATCCAAAATGGGATGACGGGCAAGAGGAAAGGGAAACAATAGCTCTGTCTTGTGTACTCAGGAGGCCATGAAATGCCATTTCCTAGCTCTGCATATTTTAGAACACCTCCCCTCTGTGCACATGGAGTTCTGTGTCTCTTGTTTCAGCAGCTTGCTCTTCAGATGTTTAAAACTCTTGTGTGATTGTGATGGTATTCGTTGCTTTGTACAAGAGATGCAACTGAAATATGTGATTCGCATTTTTCCACTAATTTCCACTTTTTCCCTTTTCTCCCAAGGTGTCTTTTGCAGCTCACATTGCAGGTGCATTTGCTGGAATGTCCATAGGGTACACTGTGTTTAGCTGCTTTGACAAGACACTGCTGAAAGATCCACGGTTTTGGGTAGCAATTGCAGCTTATTTAGCTTGTGTCTTATTTGCTGTGTTTTTCAACATCTTCCTATCCCCAGCAAACTGATCTGCCCCTAACAGAAACCAATTAATAAAAAGAGCCATCTGGGAAAACTGGAGAACTCTTAAGAAGAAACGGAGAAGTCCCAGCAAATGCCAACAATTTTAAAAGAAGGCAGAACACCACTGAAATCATCAGTTACAAAGACTTCTAACAAAAGGACTTAGGTTTTAAGGAAGGAGCTCCTGAATGCAAGGGGAGGAAAGAGGAAGAGAGAAATGGAAGTACAAACCAGAAACTGGGTCTCTCCCAGGCATATGGTATGCACGCATGCATCCTCTAAGAGACTTGTTCTTGGAGGTTGTATCGTAGAGGTGGCTTGATAGAGTCCATGAGTACTGCACTATGCTGATAATAAACCTTTTCATACTTGTGTCGGACTACTGAAAATCACTTTTGATCACTGTTCCAGCAGACAGATCACTGAGGTGTTTTATACACATCATTGCTAATCTTTTTTTATTGTTTATTTTTTTAAATCTTCACATGAGGATATGCTTTTTGATTTTTAGAGGTGGGGTGGGGGAGAGAGAAAGAGAGAAGTATTGATTGGTTGCCTCTTATATGCACTGTGACTGGGCATCAGACCTGCAACCTAAGTATGTGCCCTGACTGGGGATCAAACCAGAAGCTCTTTGGTGTATGGAACAAACCCCCAACCAACTGAACCACCTGGCCACAGCTACTGCTCATCTTTTTAAGAACCCAGAAAGGTGGCTATTCTCTGCATCTGAGAGAGGAGGACATAGAAACTTTTTTCTTTTAAGATTTTATTTATTTTTAGAAAGAGGGGAAGGGAGGGATAAAGAGGGAGAGAAAGAGTGATCAGTTGTCTCTTGCACGCTCCCAGCCAGGGACCTGCCCAGGAATCAAACCAGCAATCTTTTGGTTTGTGGGACAATGCTCAACCCACTGAGCCATACCAATCAGGGCAATGACATGGAAATTCTTTAAAAAATCAAGGAAGTTGCCTATGAGGGGGCACAATTTAAGACGGGTAAAAGACTTGAAAGCCCGTACTGTCCTCCCCTACTGGTCTGACAATGTTGTGTCCCCCAAATACTGAAAGTTAAGAGTATTGTGGGAATATAGGAATAAACATTTCTCTGGGTGCACCAGGGATAGTGGAAATTTACAGGAGAAGACAGAACTCTCTGGACTGGTAGTTAAAACTGGAAATAAGAAGCATAATTGGTAGGTACAAAATAGACAGGGGGAGGTTGAGAATAGTGTAAGAAATGGAGAAGTCAGAGAACTTATATGTATGACCCATGGACATGAACTAAGTGGGGGGTAATGCTGGAGGGAGGCAGGGTACAGGGCAGAGGGAGATAAAGGGGAGAAAAAAGTGGGGCAACTGTGATAGCATAATCAATAAAATAAACTTAGGAAAAGATTCTAATAGCTTGTCTAGCATCCCAAGGCACCTGCAACTGGCTTTCTGGGGCGCACTGTGCACCCGTAAGATTCTCATCCTTCACACGGCTACTGGTTCTCCTAGGAGTGGTTAGAATTTATGTACAGAAGGTAAAAATGTATCTGAAAGCTGAGATGCCTGTGTCTTTTTCCTGTAGAGAACCCAGACTGTTGGCCATTCTTTTTCCAAAACAGTAGTTTTAGTTTATCTGAACACAGGAAATACAATCTTTCTTCTCTTATCAACATGTTTTATTTATAAACACCCATGTAAACATGTTGCTGTCTTCTGAAAGGAGCACCTACACTTACCACAGTGAGAAAAGTGTTCTAGTATTTTGAAAAAAGCTGGTCTGGAATTTAAATTTTTTTAAAATTTGAGTATGAGAATATGAGTATGTCCTTGGTTAAACAAAGATTTGAACAATAACTTAAAAAGGTAGCCCTCCTTTATTCTCTCCCTCCCAAAATGCTTTGTCCCTGGTGACGACCACTGTTAACAGTTGGGGGTGGATTCTACACCTTTTTCTATTCAGGAGGGGCGGAAAGGGAAATGTATTTTGGTTGATGGCTGTCTCTACTCCACTGCACTGGATTGCACTGACTCTGCTTTATACCCCAAGGGGCCAAATGCAGAGAACAAGTTGAAGATGGCCCTGGTATCACTTCTAAACATGATGTGCTTTCAGATTTACCTGACCTAAGAAAGATTTGGGTTAATTATCTCTTTGTTTTAGCTAGTTAAATATACATGTGAAATGTAGGTTTTAGTAGCATAAAAGAAGTTATACTACATGTATTGTTTTGTAACTTGCTTTATACTGTGACAGAGATCTTTCTCTGTTCATTTGTAGAGTTATTTATTCTCTGAGTTGCTGAATGATATATACTATAGTTTATTTAATCACTTCTTTATTGGACACTGAAGTTGTTGATTTTTTACTGTTACCAACAGTGTTATGCAGTGTGTCTCTGAGTATGTGTTGCAGAATGAATGAATATTTCAGGCATCCAAAACCAGAAATGTGATGTTAATCTGAATAAATTTAAACTGCCTTTTAAGTAGCTGTATGCATTTTACAGTCTTACAGTATGAGATGAACAAATTTCTCATACTTTTCCCAAAAGCAGATATTATCAACCTTTGAAATATTTGCATTGTGATAGTTAAAAATGATTTATTTTAATTTTTATTTCTCTGAGGCTTAGTGTTTTTCCAGTTTATTAATAATTCATATATTACATATAATATGTAATTTATATAATATACAAATAATACTTTAATCTGAAAAGTGGCTATTAGTTACAAAGAGGCCCAGGGAAGAAACACTCATCTGCCATGGTGAAGGTACCAGGTCAGTAGCTCTGAGGGAAGACCTTTAATGACCTAAGGGCAATGTCATTGTTAATAGAAATCTGGACAGAGTCGCAGCATTCATCTAACCATGAAATCGGACATGACCTATTGATTACTGAGACTGATGACTAGTTATTATCTAGTCAGAAAGATTTTTTGGCACTGGAAGCACTGTTCATATGACCAAAAACAGTGATTGTCTTATTGGGTTCCCCAGAGGGCAAAATTACCATAAAACACAAAGACATCTGGTCTTTTTAAACTTGGTATCTCTGACTTACAGAGGGACCACTTATTCAGGTTAATTTAGGATTCGTAACTTTAGTCTTCTCAACTGCACTCAGTTATTGGAAATACTGTAAGTATTCTTGTCTATGTTCAATAAAGTAGCCATTAGGCACCAGTAGCTTACACAAACCACGCTGGCTGCCGGAGCTCAGAAGTGGCCTGTGGGTGGGTGGGGCCACCTCACTGAACAGTGCAGTCTACTGCAACACTAGCACAAAAGCTCTGTTGGACAGCCTGTTTTAGAAGCAAGAATGAGCTGGAAGAGAAAGGGATTTTAGTTGGTGGCTGGCTCATTCACTGCACTGAACTGAACAGCATCTGCTCCACACCTGCAAAGCGGAAAACTCAGAGAACCAGGTGAAAATGGCAGTGGCATAACTCCTAAGAATGACTTGCTTTAAATGTATCTAAACTAAGAAAGGTGTGTGTTAATCTCTCGTAGCTAATTAAGAGCCATTTGAAATGCTTTTATTTTTTGATTTTGAATTCTATAGTACTGTATCTACATATACTAGTATCCATGCCATTTGCTATGAAAGCTTTAGATCCTAAGGTTTGTAACAAAATAATACTGCTCCCTCTTTCAGTAAATACCATGCACTTTAAGGGGAAAAAATCTTTTATTTGTTTGTGATTAGAAAGTAAAGTGCTCATTGTAAAAAAAAAAAAAAAATATATATATATATATATATATATATATATATATATAATATATATACTATATAAATCAAGTCAATTGTACGCATACTACCCAGAGATAACAGTTAACATTTTGATAATAATCCTTCTAGGCTTTTCTGTATGCATCTCTACATTTAAGTAAAGTTACAAAAATGGGGCCATACTACTCTATTTTATAACCTAAATGTCACAGAAACAATTTATTGAAAGTCTCTTTATATTAACGTATATTTATCATCCCGTTTTCATAGTACCACACTGTGGATGTACTATTACTTATTATGTAAAATAGTCTTTCTTGTATTGATGATTATTTTGGATGTTTTGAAGTTATGATTACTATCAGGAACAATACTCTGCTTACACTTTAAAGTGCTCTGGGTTGTTGGGTCAAAGAGTATATTATTGTTAACATAAGGTTAAATAGAGATTTTCTCTATCTCAAAAATACAACTAAACTTTAGAAGGGTGATGCTTTTCCAAGTCTTTTTTTAACTGCATAACGCTTTAAAAAAGGCTCTAACCAGTTATTTAAAAAGTCAAAACGATCACTATTTAAATTATTAAATGTTTAAGAGAAAACAGTTTTTATCTTTTATGCAAATTTCTTAAATATGCTTAAAGAGAAAAAAGTAACAGTTTAGTACAAACAGTTAAGAGCTGATTTCAGAGCCACACTGACTGAATCTGAATTCCACTTTTAGCTGTGTGACCTTGGGTAATTTAAGGTGTCACTTGGTTTCCTTCTTGTAAGATAGGGAAGCCACACACATACCTACCTACCTCATAGGTTATTGTGTAGCTTTGTTATTATTTTTTTTTAGTTTTTCAAGATTTTATTTATTTATTTTGGGAGAGGGGAAGGGAGAAAGACAGGAAAACATCAGTGTGTGGTTGCCTCTTGAATGCCCCCTGCTGGGGACCTGGCCTGCAACCCAGGCGTGTGCCCTGACTGGGAATTGAACCGCGACCCTTTGGATTGCATGATTCAGTCGGGTGATCAATCCACTGGAACCACACCAGCCAGGGGTCATGTAGCTTTAATATCCCAGTATGTTGTTTGATTGTGTTACACTTCCCTTTCTATAAGGAGTATAAGACATACATTTATGTGTTAAATGAAAGTGAATAAAAACATTCGTTCTTTTTTCTTTCCGTTGGGATATATTTTTTCTTCGATATCATAGGATACCAACCTTAATATAAAACCTACAGGCTGATAATTGAAGCCACATAAATTATAACTTGTCCCATTGTTCCCACAAAAGCAAGCTACAGGTCTTAAATAGGTCAAATACTGTTACAATGAAAATTTCTATTAATACCATCACCACACCAATGTTCCCTTTATTTCAAGTAATATCTAATAACATCCAGGTAGTACAAAATAGTTGAGATGTTTTGGCGCTAATTTTAAGATGATAAAAATTTATAGCATTTTTCATAGCTAAGGATAATAAAGATTTTATAAATATTCATAAAGATGTTACTGAAGTGATTTTTTAAAATGTTAAGAAAACTGCCATAAAGAAACCAGAATTCAGATGTTTAAATGTGAATTAAAAAGCTAATCTAAATTTTTTCCAAGTATTTTAAAATTTTTAATTGTTGTTCAATTTGCAAGAGTCAGACCTGTTTCCTCTGGTTTCATTAAATGCTGTAATGAACTGAATTATGAAATGAGACATTCATTTTCCTTTGTGTATTAGTGAGATTTTAAAATCACTGACTTTGGTTATAAGTTTGGTTTGTAAGATCAAATCAGTAGTTTTAGCAACCTCTCCAAAAGCTCTGAGTTAAAAAAATAAAACAACTAATTTTAAGTAAGAAGACTTCTTTCTTACAGGGAGTCCTATGGTTCTATTCTTCATAGAGATATATACACCTCTCCCCAATATCATGCTCCCCCCCATAATTTTGCATTATGAGGTCTAAATGTAAGTGAATTTAAATTCCTGATATCTTAAATATATTCTTGGTAACAGATTATCACAACTCTCTAGGGAAAAAGTCAAGCAACCAGTGCACTGATACAGTGATGCTTTGTTCATATTTTGGCCACAGGTTTGCTTTAAGAAATAGCATGCCAACAGAAAGGAAAACTTTATGTCTCCAAGTTGATGGGGTTCAGAGCTAAGATGGTGGTCTAAACAAGCATGGGGGACTGGAATTTCCTTGGAGGCATTTTGGAGGAAGTTCAAATCCACTCCACCATGATTGGAAAGATCTGACTCACCACCCTGTTCACATTTCGTATGCTTGTTCTGGGTGTAGCAGCTGAAAATGTCTGGAATGATGAGCAGTCTGGCTTCATCTGTAATACAGAACAACTGGCTGCAGAAATATATGCTATGACTGGCTTTTCCTATCTCCCTCATTAGATACTAGGTTCAGCAGGTGATTTTTTTGTGTGTCATCACTATCTCTGGTCTACATGGGCCTTGCTTTGTACCCACTTAGAGTTCTGGAGAAAGAGAGGCAGATGGAGAAAGTTCAACTGAGAGGAGAACTGGAGGGGGTACAGTTTGAAATGTCTCGGGATCAGAGGAGATAGAAACAAGAACTTTGTCAACTGGAACAAAGGAAACTTAATAAAGCTTCACTCAGAGTAATCTTGCTTTGCACATACGTGATACACATTTATGTTTGGTCTGTAGTTGCAGTTGGTTTCATGATTGGGCAATATCTTTTATATGGATTTCATTTGGAACCTCTATTTAAATGCCATGGCTATACATGTCCAAATATAATTGACTGTTTTGTCTCAAGGCCAACAGAAAAGACAATATTCCTATTATATATGTAATTCATAGCTACCGTTTCACTTTTCTTAAATGCCTTAGAAATTTTCTACCTAGGCTTTAAAAAGATTAAAAGGGGGCTTTGGGAACAATATAAATTGAAGGATGAGCATAATGAATTCTATTCAAACAGGTCAAAATGAAATCTTGCCAAATATCAGAGCACATCTGCAAACTCACTGAAGCAACTCTCTTCTGCACCTGATTATAATCTGATAGTGGAAAAGTAAACACACAACGGTGTATCCTGTTTAAATTCTTTTGCATTTCAGGCAGATCCTAACAATCAAGATGAAATGAGATATGATGAGAAATGCATTTTGGCTGAATAGGAAACTGTACCTTCTAATGAGAGGTGCATACTTCATACTACCTGTAGACATGTTCAATGCATCAGCTCAAGTAGTAATGAAAATAACCATAAAATACCTGGAAAGGGAATTAATGGAAAAATTTAAGGAAAAAAAGAGAAATAAATGGCACAGACAGTAAAAGAAACCAGTACCCTACAGATCTCTGTATTATTCCAGGTGGTGCTATAGATTTAGACAACCACATGGGTCAGTCACCCCAAACAGCTTTCTCTCTGCCAGCTGCTTTGGGGAACCAAGGTGATTTCCTGCTACATGGGGTCCCTCTACAGAAGATGAAAATTGGGTGTCACTTCAGTCACCTCCTAAAGGTAGCCTCAAGGGCCAGTTCACAGAAGGCACAATCAGAACCCTTTCTCCTTTGCAAGAAGAATTCTAATCACTTGACATTCCAGAGACACCTAATTCTTTGGGAGAGTTGTCCTTGGGATCTGAGTTGACCAGAACCTGCAATAATCCTAAGGCTTGTCCTCCAAATCAATTAGTGATGCTGACAAACAACCTGGTTAGTAGGCAGGCTCTCGCAGACCTTGGGTTCCGAACAGCTGTTGGCTTTTAGACATCCTTCATATTCCATTATCATGGAAGTAGCCTAGTGATAGTAGAGCACAGATAAAACAGGTTAAGGACAGCTCTAAAGACCAGGTCTTAAGACGGGCAAATGCAAATCTATTTTAAAAAGGGAAAGGGAAGCCCTGGCTGGTGTAGCTCAGTGGATTGAGTGCGGGCCTGCGAGCCAAATGATTGCAGTTCAATTCCCAGTCAGGGCACATACCTGGGTTGCAGGCCAGTTCCCAGCAGGGGATGCATGAGAGGCAATCATACATTGATATTTCTCTCCCTCTCTCCTTTCCTTCCCCTCTAAAGATAAATAAAATCTTTGAAAAAAAAAAGGGAAAGGGAAAACAGTTCTCATTCTGAAATTGTGAAGGGGTAGTTTTAAAAACAATAGGATAGAGTTAATGGAATTGGGATTACTTTTTCCTGAGCTCTTTTTAGAATTTGTGAAAACTGAGTTTGGGGAAATCATATGTTCAGAATTGAGGCTAAATAGATTGGAACCAGGTTTTTCTTTGAAGGGACCACAGTCCTTCAGAGATTGTCCTTGATGGATATAATTCCTTCTTTTAGTTACTGATCTTTTATTTGTGGTTAAACTATGTTTGCCCCTGGGTCCCAACTTAGTTTCTTTATAAACTTCAACCTGATGTGTCATGGATATAATCATAACGTTGTTGTCCAGTAAATAAAAATCTTAAAAAGATTGGTGGCTTTCTTTGACTAGTATATGGCATCGCGATTCAGTGCCTAGACTGGAATTTTGGCCCTACTATTAACTGGTCATCTAACCTCCTCACTTTACTAACATTACCTACTTCACAGGTACAGTGTGAAGATTAAACTAAGGAACGTGTTTTATATTGCTTAGCACAGAGAAAGCGCTCAAAAGTGCAAGCTATGATTAACACCTTACCTCTCACCCTTCACAGACCCACTTTAAGTAGGCAACAAAAGAAGGAAACTCCAACGTAAAAGCTAGAACTTCCACACATAATTCTAAACACATGCCTCAAGCCACTGGCAATCTAAGGGTCGCCCTGCGTCAATTGTGGGCACACTTTTAGGAGTGAAAGCCAAAAAGCCAGAGCATACTACATAGGTTACCACGGCTTCGAGATCCCGACTGAGGGAGGTCCGCCCATTAACGGTACCGGAAGATTCTTCCCGCGCTAATAGTCCCCGTGCTCCCTGGCTTCGGAGGCTCGGCCTGCAGGGCGCCACGCCCATCTTCGGTCCCACCTGGACGCCGGGACCGAGTCACAGAAACGCTGCTTTTCCCTAGGCAACCAACTCGCTGAGGGGACCGGAAGAGGAAAGAAAGTGCTGTCTGGATAGCCAATGGGCGGGCTTACGCAGACTCCATCGTCCCAGCCCACCACGGGGCATTTAGAGCGTCCTGGTCGCCATGAAAACAGGCCACACCCCGGCCATCCTTGACCGTAGTTCGCAAGTGCGCAGGTGCATGCGCCCTACTGCGCATGTGCAGTGCTTCCCAGAGCCCGCCAGCCCCGGTCTCCGGCGCCAGCTACGCCGCTGCCGCTGTCACTATGGCCCATTACAAAGTGAGGGGGGCGTGCGGGCGGTGGCCAGCCGCTGGTCGGCTCTGGGTGGGAGTTGGGGCGCGCGCGCGCAGGTTTTGGGGGTCTGAGGTAGCGATGCGGAGGCGGGGTTTGTCGAACTCCCAGCGCCTTCTTCCTGCTCCGGCCCCCGATATCGGCCACTGACCCGCCGTATCTCCTCAGGCCGCCGACTCGAAGCGCGAGCAGTTTCGGAGATACTTGGAGAAGTCAGGAGTGCTGGACACACTGACCAAGGGTAAGTATGTGCTAGGAGAGGGTTCCTAGTGTCCTCGTCGTGCTCCTCAGGGCCGCGCCCCTGACGGTCCGTGGCGTGCGAAGGAAAGAGTACAGGTGGGACCTGTCCAAGGTCCAGCGAGGTGGGCCTCGGGGTTCGGCGCACGCCCGGCTGCGGTTCGCCGCCGGAGCCCGAGTCGGGTAGCTGGCTCGCGCTGCCACTCCCTCAGCCGGGACTGAAACTCTTGCAGCTGTTGCAAAGTCTCTTCAACTTCCGTTGCTTTGCCTCGAGTAGCCGCTGAGGGCATGTTCGCTAAGGATCTTGAAATCCCAATTACTCCCGCCTTACAGCTTACGCGGAGTCCTCAAAATTCTGTTAAACATTAGACCTCGAACTAAGTAGTAAATTTTACAGATGTGAAAGTGTGCTATGAAGTAGCTAAGTGAGTTTAATCCCCAAAGTAAGCGATTGATACATAGTCAGTTAGGCTGTGGCTTTTCAACCTCCGTGTCATAGTTCACCTCAGTTCCTACACTGTGCAGATTTCATAATTAAAGTAGTATTACAGGTTAAGAAGCTTGAGAGCTCATCAATTTTGATGGTTACATTGTTTTCACTTTTTAAAATGGAAGCTGTTACACTGTATTTCTTCCTTCGGGGCTCAAAATCTAAGTGAGGGCGCATAAAGCGGGAGGGTTTCAAGAGATGGATGGAGTACTGCTTATTTAATTCGCTCAGCAGTCATTTGCCCAGGGACGAGGACCTGGGTCCGAAAGAGAACAACAGTAAATGTCTGGGAAGCAATCTGGTAACTGTTCCTTGGCCAGAGGCAAAGGTTAGGAGAGAATTCTAAGAGAAGATTAACTGTGTCTTAGCAGAAAGCATGGCTGTTAATTCCCAAGCAGGGCTGGTAATTTTGATTTGGCTACCTACCTTGGAGGGGTCCAGGTACTAGTTTCTCTGCGTCTTTGCAAATAGATTTCAGTAAACATTAAAGGACCACTCTATGAAAGCCTTGTCCTCTTTTGTTGCTGGAAGTGTTACAGATTCTGGTGACTCTCTCCCCTCAAAAAATCTCAAGTTCATTTCTTTCCCTTATTTAATCATTCAGGTCTGTTTTAGGTACTGGAAACACAGCAGTGGAAACAAAAATTCCCTACCCTAAGTGAACTTATATATCCTAGTCGGGGGAGACATAATAAATACATAGTGCCAGCCAGTGGTACTAGGAATAAAAACATTGCAAAGTAGGGGATACAGAGGGATGGGTGTGCCAGTTTATGTAGGATGAGTGGTGGGGGGATGCCTCTCTTCAGTAACATTTGAGCTGAGACCTTAATGCTACAATAGCTGACGTTAGGAGTTCCAGGGAGTGTAAAGAGGCCAGAGTGGGTGGATAGAGCAAGTGAGAAAGGCAGAATGGTAAAGGGGAGAGAAGCAGCCCTTGTGGGAGGTGACTGAAGATGCACAGCCTTGCGGCCATACGTGGATTTTTCTTCACCAGAGTTGGTGGCTTCTCTTCCCTTGCTCACATCTGCTGGTGTCTAACCCTTCACCCTCCCCACACTTCCAGTTTCCTACATGACATCAGACAACTTAACATGCTGTCTACTGATGTGATCTAATTCAAATGTGATTTTCAACTTCAGACATAGGTACTTTTACATAGATTGAATTTGTAATTTTTATCTAGCTTGTTTGTAAGAGGATTTGAAACTGCTTTTAATACTAAAACGCTAAAAGACTGGATGGATAAAGATAAAGATGATAAATCATTTGGAAGAAGAGGCATTTTAGTTATTTTGAGCACTGTATCAATTCCTAAAAATCCTCACTGCTAAGGCAAAAAGGGGAACATTGGGTATGGAGATTTTCTTGTTTGATTAAAATGAAGTATATTACATCTATAGAAAAGCATAGAGAACTTGACATTTACATCATGTTGTGTAATTATCAACCTTGTACCACTGACAGAAATTTAAAAGCTGAAAGAAATGGGATAGGGAAAGAAGAGAAAGAAAGGATACATATTCATGTCTTGTAAAATTAGGACTCAATACAGATCGGTGGAAATGAATGGAAGAAACAGAAGTTTGAGTGTGTAATTTAAAGGAAAAGGTATTAGGAATTAAAGGGTACTGTCACCCATTGAAAGGGGGATTGAGGAAGGGTAGTAGTGACATAAATATATCAATTTCTCAAAAAATAGTGTTGTAAGTATGTTTAGAGAGATGAAGACTAACTACCAAAACTCAAAGTAGTTGTCCATTTCAGTTTTTGCATACTGTCTTATTTTGATGAGTTACTAAAATTCTAAAAAATAAAAGGGAAGCATGTAAGTGGTTTACGAAAAAGTTCTTAACTTGGGGACTAGATACACACATTTTTTGTGTGTAACTTTTTTTTTAACTTTATCAGATTTTTCAAAGGGTTCCATGTACAAAATAGTTTAAAACACTGGTTTAGAGAGACTTTTGTCTGAGTAGTAAATCCTAGTATGGATTTGTTCAATAGATGATGAGCAAGGTACTAGTGTCATGAGCTATTGGATATGAAAACACTAAAGTGTTATATTTTACTGTTGATTTGAGCAAGTTAATTACTGGTAAAATGTTTGGCTGGTGGTTATGTAGCATGTTATGTATGATACGTCATTCTTTTAGAACATTTTGAATTAAAAAAATTTTTAGTAATTACCATAGCCATGTCAATTCTTTCCTGCATTTTTCTTAAATTTATCTACAATGTTTCTATCCATTTATTACTTTAAGGACGGGTCACTATTTTTTTTTTTTTTTTAAGTCTTCACCCAAGAATGTTAGATTTCTCCAGGGCGGGGGGAGGGAGAGAAAGAGAGAAACATGGATGGGTTGCCTCCTGAATGTGCCCCAAGTGGGGATGGAACCTGCAACCTAGGTATGTGCCCTGACCAGGAATTGAACCCGCAACCTTTTGGTGTATGGGACAATGCTCCAATTGACTTAGCCACCTGGCCATGGCCAGTCACTGTTTTTTTCAACAGGATTACCATATCAGCCTCTTAACTGCTTTGTTCTCATCCCATTTGTTGATTTTCCACAGCAGAAAAGAGTGACCCTGTCATCCTCCTGCTTAAAATGTTTCTGTGCCTGTTCTTAGGATCAAAGTCCAACCAAACTTGCACGTTTAGGTGTTCTTCCAATGTGTTCCCATAACCTGTTATCCTGATTGTCCCTGATTCTTTTTGTGTCTAGTTTCTTGCTTATCTTTTGTACTAGACTGTAAATTCATTGAGAGCAGGAACCTTGTCTGTCTTATTCACCATGGTATGGACACTCCTAGCAATGTACTTGACATATAATAGGCACTTAATATAGATTGAATTATAGACTAATTTCAGCCATTCAAATTTAAGACTTTGATTTTGCTTTTTCTGCTTTTTGATTTGCAGTATTGGTAGCCTTATATGAAGAACCAGAGAAACCTAATAGTGCTTTGGAGTATCCTTTTCATCTTTCAAGTCAGAAAAAGGCTTTATTTTTGGAACTCTCTTATTTTTCCACATAGATAACAAGCTTTAAAATACTTTCGGTTACTGAAAAAGTTCCTTTCCTTTGAATTTTTGGGTGATATCTGTGGGTAAATGTGGATGGTGGGGTGGGATGACTCTGATCAGGGGTGCTACTCTGGTATATTTCATTACTTTCATTCAGCTCAAGTAAATTCTTAACTTTGAGATTAGTTTTTTAAAGCATCACTTAGGAGCTGCTACCCCAGAAAATCCAGAAATAGAGCTGCTTCGCCTAGAATTGGCAGAAATGAAAGAAAAATATGAAGCTATTGTAGAAGAAAATAAAAAACTGAAAACAAAGGTAAATTTTTTAAAGAATTTATGTTAACAATAACTTCATCTTTAGTTAATAATTTTACCTATTAGTAATAACAAATTCATGTTAATATATGATCAGAACCTCACTAAAATGGACAGTAGGAGAGGGAGAATGGTGCATAACAATCTCAGTTAAGGGCAAGGCCAAACTGTTGCCCTGTCTAGAAAACAACAGTATAAATAGGACAGTCAGCAAAGTGTGGTCAAGAAGAGGTTCTTGGGAACCTGCATCAGTAAAAAGATGAGAATATTGGTTAATTGCTACTCCTAAAAGTATATCGAGATCTTCGAGAGTCTTAAGCAGTTGATATAAGTTACTTTGTGAATGATGCCTTTTAAGAATTGTGCAGTGCACAGTCTGCCGGGTCATGTGGTGACCCTGTAATGTGTTAGTGTACCTCTGCAAATGTATTTGCACTTAATTTTGTCTAGAGCCGAAGTTTTTTTCTTTGTTTAAACTGTGAGAATTTTCATAATCTTGAAATTAGTCAACTTTTAAGTCCTTGAGGTTTCACTACATTCTGAATCACATAGTACGTTTTACATTAGGAATTTCTCATAACGTGTTTTATTTTTTCAGTAATGTTTCGAGATAAGTGAAACAGGTACACAGATAGGTGAGGAAACTAGAGCAGAATGAAGTCTAATTAGTTTTGCAAATCCGACAGCTAAATGAAACAAGCCTTAGCCTAGTGTTCTTCTAGAGTAGTAACAGTATAAAAGAAAATGCAGTGTCTTAAATTACCAAGATTCCACACTGTACAAATTACCAGGTAATTCTTGGGAACTTTTAAAATCAAAGACAGCAGCTCTTTATTGACTGGCTAGTTTCATTTATGTCACATAATTTGTTTTTTCTACTTTGTAGGAGAAAGTTCAGTAAACTTTTGGTGGAGGGGAGGAAACTCCCTTATTCTAAGTTACAACATCATCTTTGGGAAGATGCAGATTATTGCATATCAAAATGTTTATCAGTGTAGCCATAAATTGGAATTAAACTTTAGTTTTCTAGTAATATTTAAAGGTTTATGTAAAAAGCCTTCATTAGGTTTGATTTTATTAAATCTTAAATCATTGAATAGTTTAATGATTTAAACTTATAAACTTACTGATTCAATCATTAAATTGAATATGACAGTTACCTTGTTTTGTTACTATTAAGTTTTTTTTTTACCCAATTTAGAATAAAATTCACTTAAACTCCTCTGTCTTTGCCCTATAGCTTGCTCAGTATGAACCACCTCAGGAGGAGAAGCGTGCTGAATAGGATTCCTCTCAGTTGAAAAGACACTGAAAAATGGTTTTGTAAGACTTGAATAGTTTGTATAGTATATAATCTTTTCTGAACAGATGCTATAGAACTCTTTTAATATGTTAAATTCACCTATTACACTTTAACTGTTATACACACATATTCTTAGAATCACCAATAAAAACTCAATATAACTTTCTTTGGGTCTTAAAAGCAGGAGAATCCAAAGTGAATCCTGAAAAAAATCTAAACACAGCCATCTACTTCATTTCCTTAAAAGACATTCTCTTTACTAGTCTGACTAGGAATGGTGGTACAGGTTGTATTTGAGCCAAGGAAGGTTAGCTTTTCCTTGGTTTAGTTCAGGATACGAGTACAGGTATAGTCATTCTTTAAAATGAAGATGACACTGTTTGTATTCTGTAGGCAGCTGGAGAGATCTGTGTGACATGAGATGCTTTTGCATGGGTTCCCATGAATCTTTTGCTCATTTATATAATGCAGAACAAATAACTCTTCTTTGCCACCACTTTGCCTTAGGTAACCGTGGGTGTGCCACTTTGACACCAGGTTTTCCTTCTATGCAATCATGCCCTGTTTGACAATGCTGCCTTGCTCGCTCTGTGCTTCAATGAGTCCTACTTGCACACTGGCCTTTCTGTGTTGATTTTCAATTTGCTATAATAGCAGTTACCCTTATTGTAATTTATATAACTTTAAACAGGATCACACTGTTCCCCTACCTTAGTTGTTCAGCTGAGCACAGAACAGAGGCAATGTAAAACTCTGGGTTCACGCACAAGCTGCGATGAGAAGGGGAATGAGCCATATATATCATGGAAAATTATAGTCTGTGGGTATAATTATATAGTGCTTTTTTCTCTCAAATTATTTTTCTAGCTGTGAATTCATTTTATCTTCATTACCCCTGTGAAGTAGGTAGGGCAAGTACAAGGGGAGGTTGGGTGCTGAATTTTTAGGTCAAAGACTGATACTAATACAAATTATTTACTACCTGCAGAACCTTGGGCACATCACTTAAATGCTCTGAGATTCACTTTCTTCATCTGTTAAATGAGAATAACAATATCTGTGCTGCCTACCTCACAGGGTTGTTGTGAGGGTCAAATGGAATGTATGTGAAAGATTTGTAAATGGTAAAGCACTATATTTCTTGTTTGTTAGTCCTTTTTCCTTTCTTTTGGAAGGCCTACAGATGTTTTATATTCTCCATCATTTATTCTCCTTACTGATTTGACTGACATTATTAAGTAGTACTATTTCATGTATCCTGTTCTGATTGTTAGAGAACCTGTCTTCATTTTTTCAGTCAAAAGACACACAAAAAATAATCCACTAAAAGTTGGTTTAACTAGCAAAAGTTTCAGTACCTGCTAGAAACTGACTAAGCCAATTACAAGGGCATTTTAATCAGTCATGTTGGAGGAATATGGCAATAGTCTGTGCCTTTTATAGTTACAAGTTTGATTTTGAAGAAGGGCCAGATACTGCTGGAAGAATATTCAGCCTGAGCACCTTCTACACGGACAGCATGGCTAAATGCTGGGTATTACAAAAATGAACTTGGAATTAGTTATAAGACATGTACATAAGCAATTAGAGTGTGGGCTAGGATGTGCTAAGAATCATAAAACATGGCCCCACAGGGTTTTGGAAGAGAGGAAGACTTGGCTTCTTTAAGCTGTTGGTTTGACAGTCCCTTGTGAATACAGACTAGTAGAAATTTTTTTCTGGCAGCTAATTTTTTCTGTCATTGCTTTTTTCTCTTGGGACTAGTATTAATATTTATGTAAATCAGGTGACTGTCCCTTGTACCATCCTTTTGGAAAGAATGGCATCCTGTGGGATGGATAGTCACACTTATTGGTGGTACTTATCTGTTAACCTGCTGTACCAGTCAGTGCTATTGAAGAATTCAGGATCAGCAGCCTCTGGAGGTCCTCTTCAACATTTCTATCAATGATTTGGATTAAGACAGTATATAAGAGGCTCAGTGGAGTAGAAAAAAGATACCATCCATTCAGTTCCTGCTATGCTTCTGCCAACTTAACTATAAAACATACATTTCATATCTTGCTTACCTCACAAGGTTGTTGTAAGGATCAAATTAAATATAATGGATGACAAATACCTTGCAAATTATAAAGGACTACATATGGGTCAGATGGTAGTAATGCCAAATCTGTAAGTGCCACAGAGTTGGAAGGGCTGGTTGGTAGACTATATTGAAAATGCTTAACAACTTGGAATACTACAACTTCTGGGCCAAACAAGAAAGCTGACATATAAGATTTTTTGTTTTTTGTTTAAGATTTTATTTATTTTTAGAGAGGGGAAGAGAGGGAGAAAGAGAAGAGAAACATCAATGTATGGTTGCCACTTGAGCATCCCCTTCCCCTATTAGAGACCTGGCCTGTAACCCAGGCATGCACCCTGACTGGGAATTGAACTGGTGACCCTTTGGTTCACAGACTGGCACTCACTCTATCCACTAAGCCACAGCAGCCTGGGCCATAAGTTTTATATTAAGGTTAAAAAATGCAGTTATACAAATTTAGGCACTTAGATTGTTGATGAAGTACTAGTTCCAGTGATTATCATTGGGGTCCACTTGTACTTTATGAATATTTTCTTAAAAATCCACTCTGGAAGGCATTAATAGAATTGCTGTCCAGGTGCTAAGCAGTCACACTAAAGGCTGTATTGGTCAGTATTGCATTTTAGGTGCCAGACATTTGATGGATGTTGACAAGCTCAAACACATACAAAGGAGAGTAACCAATAGAAGGCATTTGAAAAACATAAGGCCATGTGTCTAATATGTAGCCATTAGCTACATCTGGCATTTAAATTAAAATAAAATTCAAAATTCAGTTCACTAGTCACACCAGTAACATTTCAAGTACTCAATACACATTGGCTACTATAATGACCAGCACGGATGTAGGACATTTCTATCATCAGAGTGTCCTACTGGACATCACCATAGAAGGAATGGTTGAAGGAACTGAGTATGTTTAGCCTGGAACAGAAAAGATTTAGTGGATAACGAAGGCTACAATCTAGGGCTGTCATGACAGAATATTAATCCTGTGTTGCTACTGTAAGCTCCAGAGAGTATGACTTTTGGCCTGAATAAGAGAATTTTAAAGTTTTACCACAGTGGGACTGACTCCCTTTTGAGATAGTGAGCTGTCTTGACCTGGAACTACTGAAGTGCATGCTTTGTCTATCAGACGCTGCGTAGTGGATCCTCTTTAAGTGAGGGATTGGACTAGATCACTAAGGATGTGTCCTACCTTTTAACTTCTAGATTCAGACATAACCAAGCCCAGACCTCCAAGAACATGCTTTCCCTTTATAATCAAGTTCAGTTCCTTGGAAGACCAATACCACACCCCCCTCCCACTTTAAGAGGAATATCCTCTTTTGTCGAATTTCCAATTCTAAAACCTATCAAGGGTGAAAATTCCTCGAGCTTTCTGAGTCATTTGGTGATAAGGGTTTCTTTTGATTTGCTTTCATTATTCTTTTGGTCAATGTGGGGGATGCAATGTTCTATGTGGGGAGCGGGGGCATGGAATTACTGGAGTAGACTTTGACTAGGTGGGAAGGAGGAAAAATTGAGTCATGTTGAGTCTGAAGTAGTAGCAGTATCCACTGTCAGTGACTTGAAGTTCATTCTACCTACTAGAACGAACTGTATCACATTCACGACTGTCTCGTTTGAGGTTTTTGCCCTCACCCTGTCTCCTCATTCATACCTTTTCATTTCTCAACCATACCTATCCATCCAAGGGTATGAATGTAGACATACCCTCTCAACTCCCAACAACCATTATTATCTATATCTTTTGTCCCACTGGTACCAATGCTACTTACAAATGACTGGAGGATAGGCAGGGTCCGAGTCGGTTCTAGTTTTGCGCCCCAGCACTTCGCAGACATCAGTAAGTGTTGGTTTGGACCAGTACAATTGTATTGAGAAAACAGTCAGTACCCGAGGGCATCTCCCGTTGCTTTAGTCTCTGGAATTTCGAGGAAGTCAAGAGGCCGGTGAGAAACAATGAACGTGGTTGGCAGGACAGAGGTGCAGGCTGGGGAGGAGAGTAGATCCCTTGCGGGGCCACCCTCCTCGTGACTCCTCCCTCCCCCTTTTCGGTTCCGAGTCAGGTGATTCCGAGCACGTGACGTACACCGCCTACCCTGCTGTCCCTGAATGGCAGCTAGGACAGCCAATGAGCGGGTAGGCCTCTGAGCAGAGCCAATGAGAGCTGGGCTGGGGGGTGGGCCGCTGTTGGTGGTGGCTGCCGGGGGCGGCGGCGGTGGTAAATTAGGGAGGCGGCCTGGCCTGGCCTGGCCTGTCCTGGCAGGGCACTGGTGGCGGCGGCTCTAGCACCATGTCTCTGCAGTACGGGGCGGAGGAGACGCCCCTCGCCAGCAGTTACAACGCGGCAGATTCGTTCCCGAAGGACTTCGGTTACGGCGTGGAGGAGGAGGAAGAGGAGACGGCAGCCGCGGGCGGCGGGGTTGGGGCGGGGGCCGGGGGAGGCTGTGGGCCGGGGGGCGCTGACAGTTCCAAGCCGAGGATTTTGCTCATGGGTCTCCGGCGCAGCGGCAAGTCCTCCATCCAGAAGGTGAGTGGGGCCATGCCAAGTCCCTCCACCGCTCCCTGGGGGGCCGGGCGGGGGAGGCCCCCCAAGGAGGGCGGTGGCTGGAGCTGGCCTGCAGGGCTCTCCCACCACACTTTCTCTTCTCCTCTGGGGACCAGAGCCTAAGCGCTACCCGCTCGAGGACTCCGACCTCTGAGTCCACGCCCAAGTCAGCTGAGGCCGAGTGGGTCCCCGAAGGCGAAACTGGCTGGCGGGAGGCAGGTGCCTGTGGCACCACCGGGGACCTCCGCCTCCTGGGACCCAGCCTCTGTGCCTTTACACGAAACTGATGTATGTACTCCCCAGTTCTGAGTTGGAGAACTTAATGGACTCATTCCCCTGCTAAGTTTTTGTGCGTTCCACTCGTTTCAGGTAACCTGAGTTTGCAGGGCTTCTCAGATGAGCCCTAGGGAACAGCATCAAGAGTTGTGACAAAGTCACTGGCAGTTTTAATGCTTGCCCTTGTCACTAATACGGAGAGTTTACTGTAACATTATTGGGTATCGGGGGCTATTGTTCCACTTATTTTAGTACTTGCGACTTGGAGAATGTAATTGCTGTTGGTACTACCAGTGTGTGGTTACAGAAATCTTTTGAGACCTTAAGAATATTTGCAGACTTTTGTCGTCAATCCATTTGCTTTCACTTGGGGTCTGTCAGGACCGAATGGAAGGCTATGCACTTTTTTGTAAAGGGAAAATAGAGGCAAGGTTTACCTGGTTGTAAAATGCTAGATGACTGCTCTTTGGCTCTTCCCACTCTGTTGCAAAGGTCTATCCAAAATACACTTATGTAATATTTTGTAGACAATATATATTTTAAAGACTTTATTTATTTTTAGACAGAGGGGAAGGGAGGGAGAAAGAGGGAGAGAAACACTGTGTGGTTGCCTCTTGTGTGCCCCTCACTGGGGACCTGGCCTACTACCCAGGCATGTGCCCTAGACCAGGAATCGAACCAGCGACCCTTCAATTTGCAGGCCGGCACTCAACCACGGAGCCACACCAGCCCAGGCTGCAGACAATATTTTTGAAAAGTAGCCATTGTTTTCAATTTACAGAATTGCTTGCTTTTCTCCTTTACGACAAAATTTGGGTACATTTATTGTAGGTTTTTAGCAAACCAGCCTGAATTCTTTTATTATTTTACTGTTGCTGACTGAACCTTGGGAGTGACTGTCCATTTTCTCTTATAGAAAGTAACAGAGGTAAATTAGTTTTGTGCTGAGTTCTGTGGAATGTGATTATTGTGATTTTTAACAGTTGCGTTTACCATTTCTTTTCTCATGGGGTTTCCCTGTCAATTCCTAACCCTCCTCTACCCCACGTATATAATTTTCCACTTGGTAAAATTACTGCCTTTGTTTTATTTCTTCCCCAGGACTGCAAACTCAGTGAGGGCTGGGTTCAGTCAGTTTAATTTCTGATTCTTCTTTGGAAACTAATGTAGGCATCCAATAAGAAGTTTTCAGTGAACGAAACTTATCTAGCTTTAGCTATAAGCT